GAAAGGGGAAGCAGGCTGTGCCACGAGGTGGGGAGGCAAGGGTTGGCCTCCTTGGAGCCGGCGGATGTGGTCGTGGGCAAGGGCGAGTTGCCTTTGGAGCTGAACATTTTGTGTCCTGGGTGTCATAGGGGGTTGGCCGTGTGGTAAAGAAGTGGAGGGTGGTGAGGTAGGTGTCGTGGATACTAAAATTGAGGAGGTGGCTGAACACGATGCCATGCGTCCGGACAAGGGAAGTGTGGAGGTGGGGATTTGGGAGGAAGAGGTGGGTGCAGAAGTTAGGGGAGAGGACATGCCACCCGTGGACGAGACAAGCGTGTAGATGACGCCAGCCGACGAGGGGGGGGGAGCGAGACGTTGATGACATGGGTGGGGAACTGGACTGCAAGATCCCAAACTGGGGAGATGGGAGGTGTGATCCGTTAGGCGCATGTGTCTGGGAAGAGGAAGGGGGGGGAAGAGAGGATGGAGGTGTGGGGGTATGAGACTCCAACTGTAACATACGGTCCGAGAGGGCCGTGAATTTGGCCTCGAATGTGACCCGCATCTGCTGGAGGAGGGCCAGTACCGGGTCTGACTGGGTGGCGGGGCCCGAACTGGCGGGTGCAAGGGTGGAAATCTCCGCCGGGTCAGACATGGTTTCACGAGCTAGAAACGCAAGGCCTCCACTGATGGAGCGGGAGGGACTCGCTAGCTCAGTACTCTGCATAGAGTCAGGGGATGAAGACAATGACGAGGGGGAATTGGGACGAGAGGGGCGGTCAGTGGCAGCGATCGCCGCGTCAAAGCGAGCGAGTCAGTGTGCGGCGCGGGCGTCTCGGGCGCGGTTTTGGAGTACACGTCGCTGGTTGTCACAGGGAGCCAGGTTTGCACGCAGAAAAGGGGACCGAGAAAGGAAGGCGTATAAGAATGAGGTCTAGCGAACTTCCGAAATTAAATCAAGAAAATTCAAAGTCGGAGTGAGGGAAAAAGAGGAAAATTTCCAATTTGGGGAAGAAAATAAGAGGAAATTTTCGAAGAACAGTGTGGGGTCTAGACGAGAGCATGCATAAGACAATCACGAATTCAAATAAAATTCCGAAAGTATTTGGACGTAATTTCRGAATTTAGAAGAAATTTAAGCAAAATTCAAAGAAGTTCACAATTATTCGTAAACATTTTCGGGAATTCGGGGAGATGATAGAGGAGGTAGAGATA